AACTTGATCAAGCCTTTCTCCATGTCGAACAATGTATAATGTTAAAGACATTTTTTTTAAAACCTTTATTATATATTTCTTTGAATTTTTTTTTGTTGAAATTGAATTTGTTGTGGATTATTATTTAGATCGTTATTATTATAATAACTATCACGCTATAATGTTTAATAATAATTAAGAATCAACAATATTGTATATGATCTTTGGTACAGTACTAAATTTTTACTAAATATTCATTTAACACTTACCGAATAATGCTCCATTTTTTCTTTATTTATAATTTTTTTATAGCAGTAGAGAAAAAAATGAAAAAAGTTATGCGTGTTTTTTAAAACCCTTTCAGTAAATGGAGTAATATATAAAATAAACAGAATAAAATAGAATAAATAATAAGTGTAACAGTAAAAGGTATATAAATAAATTTATTATTATTTTTAGAAGCCTTCTTTCCCATTAAGCCCCCCATTTCTAAGTAATATTACAAATTTGATTGGTTTACCGGAAGTATTCAAGTTCTTCCCTTAGAAAACTCAAATTTAAAACCTAAAATAGGTAGTATTACAAAGAAACTTTGAATATTTATATTATTATTAGGTTGAATGGCCAATGGATTGTTACACACACAAAATGTTTAACTTAATAATTGGATAAAAATCTTTAAATGATACAAGCAAAAATCTATCATATTTATCATTTTATCATTCTATGAATCCGTTTTCAATGAAGGCTTTTTAGGATATTTCACATAGCCAAGCACTACCGGAATATGTCACAATTTCCAACAATGTGTAACATGCATGAGTCATTATTATTAGATATTTAATAAATTAAGTTTAGCATCACGATCAATACATTCTGACTATCCACTTTTAGGTTGTAATAGGTGCATCAATCATTAATTTTCCTACAACTCCTTTAAATTTGGACATTGTCAATTTTCATACTAATTTATCAACCAAAAACGATAATAAATGACAAAAAAATAGTAATGGAGTTAGTATTAGTTGATTATTCCACGGTTAACCGGTTAATTCAAAATTACACAGTGAGTCTCTGTATAGCGGATAATTTGGGCAATTAGAACAATATTTCAAAAATCCGTTACACCGAGATTAATTCAAGATTTAATTAGTAAATCCGTTAAACCGAGAGAATTTACTTATAGACGGTTCTGAGCTTTGA